TTATATAGTGCTCACTGTTCTAAGCATTTTAACTGTAGTAACTCATTCCTTCCTTACAGCAATCCTGTGAAGTAGGTATCATTAAGAAGAAGTTGAAGGACTTCCCTGGTGGCGCAGTGGTTAAGAATCCGCTCTGCCAATGCAGGGGACATGGGTTCAAGCCCTGGTCCGAGAAGATCCCACGTGCTGCGGAGCAACTAAGCCTGTGCACCACAACTACTGAGCCTGTGCCCTAGAGCCCGTGAGCCACAACTACTGAGTCCGTGTGCCACAACTACTGAAGCCTGTGCGCCTAGAGCCGGAGCTCCGCAACAAGAGAAGCCACCGCAATGAGGAGCCTGCGCACCGCAGTGAAGAGTAGCCCCCCTCGCGGCAACCAGAGAAAGCCTGCGTGCAGCAACGAAGACCCAACACAGCCAAAAATAAGTAAGTAAATTTATAAAAAGAAAGACGAAGTTGAGGCACAGAGGGGTGAGATGTCTTGCCCGAGGTCACCCCAGCCAGTAGTGAGGAGTTGGGATGTGACTCCCAGCAGCCTGGTTGCAGCGTGAGGGCTCCATCTCCCTGCTACACTGACCCTCAGAAACACAGCGACGAGAAAGTACAGGTAATCAAAGTACGCCATGTGGCTCAGCTGTGAGTAATATTCACATGGTCCTAATAACGGGAAATTCAGATACTGATTTAACAAAAGTTAGAATACAGAGGAAGACAAACACTGTATGACCTCACTTGTAGGTGGAATCTAAAAAAAAGCTAAATTCAGAAAAAGAGATCAGATTTGTGGTTGCTAGAAGTAGCGGTGGGGAGAGGAACAGGGGAAATTGGGTGATGGTCGTCTAAGGTACAAACTTCCAGGTGTAAGATAAATAAGTCCTGGGATGTTATGTACACGATGTCTATAGTTAACACTGCTGTGTGGCAACTTCGAAAGTCAAGAGAGTTTTGCCTAAAAGTTCTCATTACAAGGGGAAAAAAATTCTTTTGTAAGTATATGAGGTGATGGATGTTAACTAAACTTATGTGGTAATCATTTCACAATGTACATGTGTGCAAGGTCATTATGCTGTCACACCTTAAACTTATACACTTACGTTGTATGCCCATTACAGCAATAAAATGAAAAAGGAAAAAAGTTACTATAAGTATCTTGGTATATGTGGAGAAGTGTGAGTGTGAGTGTGTGTGTGTGTTATAAATACCTAGAAAGTCAAGTTCTCATCTTTCATAGTACAAGTGAATTGATGCCTCAAAGTAAAAAATCAAGCTAGATTCATCTCCACCTAGCATATAGAAAGTACTCAATAAATGTATGTGAATGAATAAATAAATGCTTTTCTAAGTCTCTATTTCAAATCTTCATATATACACTTACATAGCCCTGTAATAGAAAGACTGGAGAAATAGCTTTTATCTATCTCTGGTTGCTATGTATGCCATGGAGGAATGACTATGATAAGTTTATGTAAAAAGTAGCAGATTGCAGAACAGTATGATACTACAGTCCACTTTTGAATGGATAGAATATGCACATGTGGACGTATACACTTACAAACATACAGGATTATACATGTCAAATAAAATATCTGCAAGGATAGACCAAGGTGCTGTCAGGGAAGAATAAGAACGGGAAGAGGCTATTTCACTTGATATGCTGTTGTATTTTAAAATTGTTTGCAATGGGTATTTCTTGTTTTAATAATTAAAATTAAACACTTACAGTTTATTTAGATTTTTAACACACACACACACACACACACACACACACACACACACACACACACAAAGATTATTCAGATCATGTCATTTCCCCACTCAGAACCCTCCAATGGCTTCCCATTAGATGCAGGATAAAACCCAAACTTCTGCCATGGCCATCACGCCCTGGGTGATCTGCCCCCTGCAGACCCCTCTGGCTTCATTTTGTTTCTGCCCCCCTGTGCTCACTGGCCACTCTGGTCCTCGGGGGAGGTCCCCCCTGCTCTTGCACTTGCTGTTCTCTCTCCCTAGAACACCTGTCCCTACCTGCCTTGACATTCATGTTCCTTCCCTGCACTCAGATTTCCACTCAACTGCCACCTCCTCAGAGGCCTTCCTTGACCACCCAGTTAAAGTGTCCCCCACCTAGACACTCCGAATCACGTTACTCTACTTTCCATAGGACTTATTAGTACATGTCTGTTAGTTTGATTTTTCACTGTCTCTCTCCCTCACTGGACTGTAAGCTCTACAAGAGCAGTGGCCTTGCCTGGCCTGCTCATCATGGAACCTTTAATGCCTAGAACAGTTTCTGGCACATGGCATATAATCAGAGGTTATTTGGTGGATGGACAAATGAGGGGATGAGTGGACAAGTGGATTAGACAATAAGTGTTGGAAGGATGGGTGGGTGGCTGGTGGATGGGAGGGGAGTGGATGGATGGATGAGTGGGTGCCCAGCTGGCTGTCATCTGGGCCGTTGGAAAATGACCCACTTGATCTGTCACAGAACCTTCTGTGCTTCTCTACTCTCTCAGGTGCTTCATCCCTTCCGCCTGGGGGGATTCAGTAAAGCTAACATACTATGTCCTGAAAGTTTACTGGGCCTTGTACTCAGTATATTACCTCATATATTACATGTGTTAACCTCATTTAATCATTGCAACTCTGTGGAGTGTTTTCATGCCCTCAGTCTTATAGATGAAGAAACAGGGGCTCAGAGGGGTTAAGTCACTTGCTCCAAGGTTACACACTAGTGAGTGATGGAGCCAGGACTAGACCCAGGTCTGGCCCCAGTGCCTTTTCACTAAGCCTCACCACCTAAAAATACAGATGCAGAGGACATGCAGGAACAGGTGGGAGAATGTGCGGGTGTCTCTACTCTTGAGTCTTCAGAGAATACCTTCCAACAGATATTAAGAAGGGACAGAACAGATGGCCCAGTGGGCTGTGATGGCAGGGGTGTGGCGGGGAGGTGGGGGTTGTGAATAGGGACCAGAACACCTGGGGACACTGGAGGAGTCTATGAAGGGTTTGGGTCTGAAGGACCCAAATGGGGAGCTCACACATCCAGTTAGGAGTCATTCCTAGAGCCCTACCCCAGATATAAGGGATCTGCCTGATCACTGAGCCAGGAAAGCACTGGCTTTCTCTAAAGTGCTCACTCCATCAGCCCACCCCAGGCCTAGCTGGTTTCTAGATATATAAACCCATAGCACACCCATATCACAGCAGGAGAAAATGAGGCTTCAACAAACCCAAAAGAAATGCACCCAAACCCAGTGAAACCACGAAGGGGTCGGGCCAGAGGAGAAAGGATCCCTAATGCTGGAAGGGGTCAGAAGTAGCCCTGAGCTTGCTGGGACCCGAGCTGTCCTGCTGCCTGAAGCCACCAGAGGGCGCCAGTCCTCAAACAGGGACTTTCTCTGGTCCCGAACTGCTTGGTGGAAGGGTGTGGGCGCAGGTCTCTGGATCAAGGAAACCCAGCCTTTGACCCTGGCAGGCGGGGATCTGGGGATAGAGTTGGATGAGGGACACTCTCTAAATTGTCTGGATTTTCCACAGAGAGGATGCATTTCTTGTAGAATTATAAACAAGCTTAAACGGATGAGAAAAAGGGTATTTTTAAAGACTTTCTAGCCCTAGAGCTCTGAAAGAAGCCTGTGTGTTCCCATATGTGACCTTGAAGTACATCCACCACCTACTCCCAAGACACGGCTTCTAGGTATAGTCTTTATACTAGTTGTCAGGTGTGAGTTCCAGTTAAAACTGTTCGCAAGGTTTGGCATCTGGATGTGAGGGCCCTAAATAAGGACTCACCACAAATGGCATCTCTGGGTGTGGCCGTCAGGTTTAAACTGCCATAGATGTGCCAGCAGAATGGAGGTGTGAATGGCTCCCAGGTGTGGCCCTCAGGTGTGAAACCTTCCTCAGCTGTGGCACATAGCATGTCTGTCCGTCTGGGACTGCAGAAACCCCAGTGTCTGGCCTGCCCAGGTCTCAGACCCCCCCAAAGAATCCTCCAGTGAAGACCCGTTAACTGGGCCACCTGGCCTTTGGTTCAGAGATGTCCCATCACTATACCAAGATCCACCTCAGGTAACCTCTCTTATCTCCCTGCCCAGGTCCCAGGTGTTGAAGGCCTCTCTCTCCTCCCCTGAATTTGCTTCAGGATCAAGACTGGGCCTTGGGGGAGCACAGTTAGGCCCAGATGGAAAACGCCCCTGGCCCAGGCCCCATCTTCGCCCCCACCCTGAACAGACTGGGGGCTTCAGCCCCTACTGAATGAGGGAGTCCTCAGAGCCTTTCCTTCAGCTCAGCAGCTCTCACATAGGAGCGGTTCTGCCCCCGCAGGGGACACTTGGCAATGCCGGAGACATTTTTGGTTGTCATAATTGGCAGTACTGCTGGCATCTAGTGGGTGGAAGCCAGGGATGCTGCCAGATATCCTACAATGCACAAGACAGGCCTCACAACATAGCATTATCCAGCCCAAATGTCAATAGACAAATTCTGCTAGCCACACACAGCAGGGAGCGGGACTGCCCCAGCAAGGAGATGGGGGGCAGTGTGTGTGGGTGAGACAAGAACGGAGATGAAGACGGGGAATTGGGGGAGGGGAAGGTGAAAAAGCACTGGACCTGGAGCAGACCGACAGAGCTGGATCCCACTGACCGGCTGTGCCACCTTGTACAAGTCCCGTAGCCGCTTAGCTTGCTTCCTCGTGTGTAAAAAGGCCAAAAGGGCTGGACAAGAAGATAAACTTGGAAGAAGCTAACCCGTGCCTGGATACACCAAGGATGCTCCATAAATGCAGGCTGGGGCTGTGGGGTGTTGGGAAGCAGGAGTGTCGGGGGTCAGGATAGTGAATTCACATCCCCAAGAGCTAACTGGATCTCATTCTCAGAGTTCCAAAGAAGACCTGGGAATGAGGCTTCTTTCCCTTCTCCCCGGAACCCAGCCGTGCTCAGGTGTGCAGGCCAGGCTGGGGAAGTGGGGCTGGGCCAGGGCCCGGTACTCACCGCTGTGGCTCTCTCCATCACTGCTGAGATAGGGGTAATATTCATGCGTCTGGCGTTGGTAGAGATCCGTGTCATAGGGAACTAGATCTTCCGATGGCTGCTGAGAGAGGAGGGTGTCAGGGCTGGGAATGTGGCCGGGAGACCGTCTGTATCAGGCTTACAGCCCTCTCTCTGCTTGGAACTGGGAGAGGCCACAGAGAGTGGAAGAGGGGGACCCAGGGGAGCAAGAGCCTTGGCTTCTGCAGAAAGGGGGTGACAGGGACCCTGGAGGTCAGAGGTCAAAAGAGGACCAGGTCTGAGAGGACAGCCCAGCTGCTCTCCGTCACCTCACACTCATACTCACATTCCAGCGTGTGCCCGGATCCCAGCCTCACACACTCACCCTCTCACGGTCACACTGATATGCCTACACCCCCCAAATACATACATACTCCCCGTGACACACGTCTACCCACACTCCCACATGCGAACTCTCACCCCCTCGTCCACTCACAGCCCTCACACTCACTCTCGGGGGCACTCACACTTACACATGCTTGTCGTCACACACACACACCCCCATTATGCACCCACCTGTAGGCACACGCAGGGTCACTGGGATTAACGCACGTATCCACCCACTTGCCTGCAAGTGCATTAACCCACACATTCATACCCACGCCCTTCCTCGGTCACTCTCACTCCACCTACACACTCACCCCACGGCACACACGCTTGTCCTCCTGCTACAGCCCCGCCCTGACACCCACTCTCTCTCTTAGCCAGTGCCCAGGGCCAGCACCGTGACCAGTGGCCATTCACACTGATGGATTTTACAGGACTCACCCAGGCAGGGGCAGGTTTGGGGGCCTCTCCCTCCTCCCCCCTCCTCCCGACACCCTCCCTGGGATGCTCCCTGGTCTTCCTCCCCCGCACCCGCCCCACTGGCACAGGGAATGCACACCCGGAGGCTTCCCAGCAGTCATCAGGCCTTTCCTCCCCCGCACAGTGTGTGCCCGAGGATTGCACAACAGTAACTCCAGCCCTCAGGGCTTGGTTCGGCAACCAGGGCTGCCTTGGTAGCCCACCCTCCAAGGACCCACTCCGAGTAGCCCCTGGGCTGGGGCGAGGTGTGGGAGCCCAAGGGGATGTGCCTCCTGCCCCGCTCTAGCTGGAGTTCAGGGATTCAGAGGTCAAGGGTCAGAGACAGGGTGGCCGAACCCCAGGGCCTGTGGCTTTCTGGAGGCAAGGCTGGCTCTCCTCAGGACCACCTCTGTCACCACTGCCAGCCCCCAGGTCGGGGGAGGGTGGGCCAGGGCCAGGTGCCGACGGGCTGGCTGGTTCTGGGTCCGGCCCAGGGAAGAGCCTGACACTGGGCTTGGAGGCAGCGCAACCCCACAGCGGGATGTCAAGCCCGGGGTGCCTCCCCCAGGCTCTGAGGCCCGGCTGGGGTGGGGCGGGGGGGAAGGGAGCTGCCTCCAGGCCGGGAAAGCTGAGTCAGGTGGGCAGGTCCTGCCAAGCCCTTCCCGTCTCCCCCCAGGGCTCCCCACCCCTGCTGAGTTGGGACAGGGTGGGAAAAGGGAGAGGGGTCCTCTCAGAGGGGCCTGGGTCTGACACCTGCCGAAGGCTGCAACTGTCACTGAGGGCAGCAGCCGAGGGGGTCTGCCCCAGACGGCTGCCCTTCCCTCCCCGGGTTCCCCCGGGACCTGCTTCTTCACCTCCAGCCTCAGCCCTGCCCCCACTCCAGGCTCCCCCCTTGACCTTCCCCAGTTCCCACGCCAGCCCCAATCTCAGCCCCGGGGTGTCCCTGCCCTCTACTCCCTGATCCCCAGCCAGAGCCCACCCCTAACTGCGTGGCTAGTCTCTGCTCCCCTCACTGCTCCGGCCCAGCGCCTGCCCCGACCCCTGCCTCTGCCACTCAGGGCCCAAGCCCCAGACCTTTGGGTCAACAACCGTGTCCTCTGTACCAGGCCCCAGGCTGGCTGGTGGGGACCCAGGCTTAAGGCAGCCTCAGTCTCCAGAAGCACCCAGGCCACCTCTGGCCTCTTGCCGCCTGCCCTCAAGCCCGTACCGTCCTGGGGACTGGCATACCCCCCCACACCAGTCTCCCCATTTCCTCCGCCACCACCTCCCTGCCGCCACCCTCACCATCCTCAGCCCAGCACCCTGCTGTGGAGCTCCGGCCTGCCACCCAAGCCCCATCTATAAATAACCGTTCAGGCCCCGCCGATCACAGCTCCACCATGGGCTCAGCCCTCAGCCCGCCAGGGCACGCTCCGAGGAAGCCAATGGCCCCCTTGCTGGGTCTCAGGCCAGGAGCTCCAGGGAGGAAACACCAACTTCCCACTGATAGTGGGAGGGCAGCCGGCGGGCTGTCAGGCAGGCGGGTGGGCGTCCAAGGGCCACAGGTTGGGCTGGTGGAGGAGTCCCAATACTCACAGGGGGGACGAGGGGAAACCCTTCCATTTTGCACGCCTGTAACATCCAGCCGAGCTCCGAGCCGGTCAGGTCCCCTGCCTTGGTGGGGGCCAGTGCAGAGCCCTGGGGATGGGGCGCCCCGTCGGGGGCTGGACGGGCTCAGGGCGGGTACAGGGCTCAGGCCTGCCCCTTGAGCTACAGGAGCCCTGGGTGAGCCCCCTCCCTTGACATTGCAGGGCCAGCGCAAGTTCCTGATTTTATCGAAGGCCTGCCACTGGGAGATAGTCCCCTTGGGGTGACATCACCACCCCAGCCCGTTTGCATAAATCTCTTGCGCTACAGGAAGTCTCTGGCCGGCTGGGGCAGGTGGTGCTCCAGGGGCTGGCCTGGGAGGCCATGGGGGCCAGGCCCCCTGCCCAGAGGAAGCTGGGACTGTGAGGGGCGGCCTTGAGGGCTAGGGTGGGAGGAAGAGTGGGAGGGAGGAAGGCTGCCTCCACCACGGGAGGCCTTTCCTGCGCCCGGGCCCTGCAGAGGCTCTCTAACCTCTAACCCCTAACCCCACAAATACCTGCTTCTCTTGAGACCCCGACGTGGCCAACAGTCACTTCCTTGGGGTCAGAGCTGTTAAGGGTGGGTGGCCTCTTGCGGTCTCTGCTTTCTGGGGTCAGCCTGGCTGTCTGAGGGCTCTGATCCAGCAGAGTGCCAGGCCTGGCTCTTCCTGGGCCCGTAGGACCCCAACCCCTGGGCTCTATCCAGCCTGGGGCTGGGCTCCCGGGCAGGGTCCTCAGCACAGTGCCGCTTTCCCCTTCCCTCCACCAGCTTCTCTTCCACCAGGAGGGTTCTTACACCCTCCCCTCCCAGCTTCCTAAGGACCACCGCTTCTTCCAAATCCCTAGGTGCTCTACTCCCAGCCTAGATTTCTCAGTGTCCCCTCCCCTTAACAATGCCTTAATATCAATCTAGTCTTCCTAGTTTACAAACTTTTCCTGTCTGTCCATCCATTCATCTATTTTCCCGTCCATTTGTTTATCTGTCTGTTTGTCGATCCATCTATCCACCCACCAAGCCAGTCATACATTTGTCTATCAGTTTATCCAACTGTGCATTCATTCATCCATTTATCTGTTAGTCTGTCATCCATCCACCCATTTGTTTATCTACTTGTCCAAGTAGCCATCTATATGTTCATATATCAGCCCATCCATCTGTTATTCACCCACATTTCCATCTGTTTATCCACTTGATGTTCAGCTATCAATCTGTTCATCCATTGGTCCTTTTCATCCACCTATCCATCCATCCACTCATCCATCCATCCATCCATCCATTCATCCATCCACTTATCCATCCATCCATTCATCCATCCATCCATCCATGTATCCTGCCAATATTAATTGAGTTCCAGGCTTTATGCTGAGTGCTGGGAGAAGAGAAAGATACTGGACAAGAGACCTGCCTTCAGAGAATTCCTGATCTAGTCTGGAGGGCAGAAGGATGAATAGAGACATTTTTTGATCCATTGATCTCTGGTGAGTCCACTTCTCTTGGGGAAGAACTTCTTGAGCATTCAGTTTCCTCCCCTGTGTAGTCTAACCCTTTGCTTTATATCCCCTTCCCACTAAGACTAGCCAGCCTCCTTCCTCTCAGTGGAATCCCAGACGCCCAAGTGTTTCTTTACTTGCAGCAAAGACCAGGAATTCACAGGTCTGGGTTCACCATTAGATCTATTTCACCTACATCTTCACTGATTTTTTGCATCCACACTTGGGACTCTCCAAGGGGTCCACATCACTGGTCCTCAGGACTCCCTAGGTACCTGACCAAGGTTCCTCTCCAAGAGGAGGGGAGAGGCAGGCTGACTTGGCATCAGCTCCATCCCTGTCCCCACGTTCCCATCAAGAAGGCCTAGGGACTTCCCTGGTGGCGCAGTGGTTAAGAATCTGCCTGCCAACGCAGGGGACACTGGTTCAAGCCCTGGTCTGGGAAGATCCCACATGCAGCAGAGCAACTAAGCCTGTGCGCCACAACCACTGAGCCTGCACTCTAGAGCTTGCGAGCGACAACTGCTGAGCCCACACGCCACAACTACTGAAGCCCACGTGCCACAACTACTGAAGCCCATGGGCCTAGAGCCCGGGCTCCGCAACAAGAGAAGCCACCGCAACGAGAAGCCCGCGCACTGCAACGAAGAGTAGCCCCCACTCGCCACAACCAGAGAAAGCCCTCGCGCAGCAACGAAGACCCAACACAACCAAAAATAAAATAAATTAATTTTTTAAAAAAAGAAAAAGAAGGCCTAGTCCCAGCTGACTGGCTGTGTGTGGGGATGGCTCTACTGCTCTACTGCATGAGAACCAGGTCTTGCTTGATGTGTTCATTCATTCTTTCATTCATTCATTCTTATCTTGGTTTGTTTTGTTTATATGCTTATTTATCTACTTATTCATTCATTTAATCTTTTTTTAAATTTTTATTTATTTATTTATTTTTGGCTGCATTGGGTCTTCGTTGCTGTGTGCGGGCTCTAGGTGCGTGGGCTTTGGTAGTTGTGACACGTGGGCTCAGTAGTTGTGGCGCATGGGCTCAGTTGCTCCCCGGCATGTGGGATTTTCCCGGACCAGGGCTCAAACCCCTGTCCCCTGCATTGGCAGGCGGATTCTTAACCGCTGCACCACCAGGGAAGCCCCTAATCACTAACTTTTTATTGAGGGTCTCCCATGTGCTGGCCTGGCAAGGGGACACAGACATGAAGGAAGCATGCCCTGGGCCTCCAGGAGCTCACAGGCCTGCAGAGAGAACACACATGTGAGCAGACGGCATGGTCCTTCTGGGTGGCAGGGGCACAAGAGGTGCCAGGTGCATTAGTGAACAGTTAATCAGGTCAGGGCCACAGGTAGGAAAGCGTGCGAGGGAGAGAGCATGTCCGGCTGAGGGACCAGCCTGAGCAAAGGCAAGGAGTTGGGAGAGAACAAGGGAACAGTGAGCTGCCCTCCTTGTGGCTGGAAGCAAGACAGGGCAGGAAGGCAAAGAGCCTTGAGTCCCAAGCCCAGGAGCCTGGTGGGTATCCAGGGGGGGCTGTGGAGCCTTTGCTGTTTATAAGCAGGGAGTGTGGTGCTCCCCTCTGTAGACACAGGGACCAGACCAGGCCGGCTCTGTGTTCCCGAACCCTAAGTCTCAAGGGGCCTCAGGAGAAGAAAGAGATTCCACTGTCCCAAGTCTGGCCAAGCCCAAGGGGCCTGGGTAAGGAAACCCATAAGAGGCCCAGGACCCCAAATCTATGGAAACGGGCAGAACTGACTCCCACTTTCTGTGCAGCTCCAGCATCCTGTGTCCATTCACAGAGCAAGTCCTTCCCATCCTTCCTCCCACTGCCCCTCCTCCCAAAGTGCACCAGAGGCCTCTTCCTGAGATTCGAATTCCTAGGGACCTGATGTTATCCTAAGCCTTTGGAATAGTAGGACCCAGATTCTAAGCAATTCTGAGCAGAGCAGAGAAGGTTTGATAATCCACAACCCCAGGGCTAACAGCTCCTTAAAAAGGGGGGACAGGGACTTCCCTGGTGGCACAGCGGTTAAGAATCTGCCTGCCAATGCAGGGGACACGGGTTCGAGCCCTGGTCCGGGAAGATCCCACATGCCGTAGATCAGCTAGTCCTGTGCACCACAACTACTGAGCCTGCGTGCCACAACTCCAGAAGTCCGCGTGCCTAGAGCCCATGTTCTGCACTGCATTGAGAAGCCTGCGCACCGTAATGAAGAGTAACCCCTGCGCACCAGAATTAGAGAAAACCCACGCGCAGCAACGAAGACCCAACGCAGCCAAAAATAAAACATTTTAAAAATTTAAAAAATTTTTTAAAAGGGGGGAAATTATTTTCTGAGTGCCCAGCACTGTGCTGAGTGTTTCCACCCTTGTGATCTCACGTAACCAGGACAACCATCTGTTACACTGAAGCCCGAGAGGTCAGTGACTCGCCCAGGGTCACACAACCTGTGAGTGAAGAGCTGGGGCATGAATCTGCTTTCTGGGGCTCTAGGAAGGGCTGGATCCTAGGGCAGGGGAAAGAGGCAGAGGAAGAGAAGCCAAATATGGGGAGAGCAAGGAAGGGCAGAGAGGGGAAAATAAAAGGAGAAAGAGTCAAAGAAGGGAGTAGAGAGAAGTGAGGCAATGAAAGAGAGAACGGGGCGGGGGTGGTGGGAGGGGAGGACAAGGGAGAGAGAGAGGAGACAGGACAGCAGGGACTGGGTAGCGACAGGACCTCAGGGGAGCACAGGGCTGGCCTCCTTCTGCAGCAGAGGAGACAGGACCAGAGAGGGTCCCCAACTTGCTGGAGGTCCCCAGGAGCATCAAGTTGGCTTGTGGTTCGCATTTCTTGTGGGCAAGAAATTGGTTTCAGACCAAAAATCTTAGGTGCTCCAGGGAATGAGAAGTGAAACAGTTTTTTAAATTACATTTTTTAAATAGGTAATATATACACATGGTATGAAATCCATAAGGTACAGAAAGGGAAACAACTGTCCAGTTCCCTGTTATCTGATTCTTGGGTATTTTTCTAGAGATAGTCTAAGCAGACAAAGACATAGAGGCAGATGTAGTCTGTTTTAAATTTCACCCAGAAAGTAGCATACTAAACACATTGCACTTCACTTTGGTTGTTTTTTCCCCCTAAATCCATCCCATGTCCATGCATATAGAGCTGTCTTGTTCTTTTTAATGACTATATAGTATTCCACTGTTTGGATGGACTGTGATAGTTTAACATCATGAGAGACCTCATTCATACAAAAGACTGCATGAACCACTTATGTACAGTTTAAAAAATAATGATAAAGTGAACACTTATGTAACCACCAACCAGGTCAAAAAATAAAATGTTGCCAGCACTACAGAAGTATCCCCCAAATCCCTTCCCTCTCTCTAGAAGTAACACTATCTTAACTTTTTCAGTAATTATGCCCTCATTTTCTTTATAGTTTTCCAACTTATGCAAACACCTCTAACAATATAGTTTAGTTTTTACCTTAACGGATTTTAATCTTTATACAAAGAGAATCATAGTGTAAATGTTCTTTTGTATCCCACTTCTTTCTCACTATGTTGTTGCATGTAGCCGTGGTCTGTTTTCATTGCTGTATAGTATTCCATTGTTTAAAAAGTTACTTAACCAGTCTCTTATTGATGGACATTCAGGTTGTTTCCAGTCTTTTGCTATTACAAATAATACTGCAATAGATAAAATTTGTTAACTTACACATATGCAAGTGTATGTCTAGGATAAATTCCCCAA